TCGTGCCGTGGGCTGTGGAACCTGCACAGTGGTTGGATGTCGAAATCGCATGAGCTTTGAGAGGAAGATCTTCACCAGCAGTAGAATTCCTAAGCCCGGGCCTTAAAACCCTCAACCAACCGGCGTACGGTGTCAACGCTATAAGCTTTAAGCTCAAGGAACCTTGTAGTCGTCAACTTCTGACCATGTTTACAGACAGGTGAGCCGGTGTTCTGGGGCCAGAAGTGGCATGAAGGTGGCTTCGAGAAGAATGCCGCTTGTTGAAGATAAGGTCCCTGAGCCCTGCACCCTACAACCCCTGCTCGTAGCCTCCCGGGCTTTGGTTGGCATCTTTGAGGGTTTGGAGTTCGGAGCTAAAAAAATCCAAAGCCCTCAACCCCAAAAGCCTAAACCCTGCACCCTAAACCCCATGCCCCCTCTTGAGATCAGCTGAGGTTATTCACTTCGACAAGACTGCCAAGGTGGCATCAGCAGACTACATATGGGTAGTTCTCTAATTAGGGTCCCTTTTCAGGTCCTTTTTCATTGTTAAGGGTGCCGTACCATCCTGGGGACCTAAAAAAGGGGCCCGTATTTGGAGAACTCACCGCATGCATGTGAAAGTTGACCGAGACATCGAGTTCGTGACGCTGATTGCCTTCGTCGTCAGTACCTGCGCAGCTGTGACAGATTTCGACAAGATCCTAGGGAACATACAAAAGGGGTATGTTCCATCATTCGTGCACAGAGCGCGACCAAACATGGCACGTAGCACGAGCTGAAGATGTGTGACAGTGAAGCACAGCAGTTCTTGCGAGTGTTTTCGAGTCTGTCGATGCGCGAGACCGGCAGGTCATGCGAGACATCTTTGATGCAACTCAAGGATTTCAGAAAGAGCTTGGAACCCGCCTGCACCTTTGCTTGCTCCTTCACTCTTGTTGGCTGGTGCACACGATGCGGCTGGAATGACTGGCTGAGGCTATACCTTCCTGGACATCGCATGCGCGTGCCCAGGCTGCATTCAAGCTTAATCTGCAAGACGAGATGTCACTTTGTGCCATAGCCCTGTCCCTGACGCCGGCATCTGGAAACTGAGAGTCCCCCCAACAAAATTCGTTAAGAAAGGGTTTAGGGTTTAGGGATCAGTCCTCCCGACACCTAGATAGCCAATCCTATCATCAGCACTTTGCTTGCCGAGGCCGGGCGGCTTCTCCAGATTCATGTGCAGTGACCCACGCTGTGAGAGGCAGCGCTTGCACTGTGTGGCGGGGTCGGGCGGGGGCTTCGTAAGGATGACGGGTCCCTTTTCAGGGGTCCAGAAAATCAGGGATCTTGTTTTGGAGTTCTGTGTTCTTGTGTACGTACTGTAACGATGAATAGGGGGGCAGGTAGAGGAGTACGACGGCTGTTTCTGGCATGTAAGAAAGCAACAAGCGTGCACACACATACACACACGCACACGCAACATATCGTGATTAAAGGTATGAGGATGAAGAGGATGAAGAGGATGATGCTGATGCTGATGCTGATGCTGATGCTGATGCTGATGCTGATGCTGCTGATGATTATGATGGTGATGGTGAGATCCACAAGCTTACTCTGCATGCAAACAGGCATGCATGCGTGCATAATATGCACATGTAAGGACCTACATAGGGTTTCACGTGCTGGCAAGTGTCCCCTACGTCCCGCCCACAGCAACCCCGATCGTCTCACAAAAGATCATTTTATGGCAGTACCAGTGAGCAATTGCTCGCTTTTCCGGCAGACTGTCTGAAGCCCCAACTCCCTGAGATGGTCCCTAACCCCAAACCCTAAACCCCTAAACCCCTAAACTCTAAACCAGTAAAATCTCGAAAGCCCGAAAGCCCATAATGGAAGCTGGACATCTGCGTCAGGGGCTGGGGGATCAGCCTGCCTGTCACGGAGGGCGGCTTCCGACTGCTCTTTACCTGGAGCACGCCCGACGAAAGAAAGTTCCAGGCCGAGTGGGTGAGGGTTTGGGATTTCAGGAGCTGACGGTTTGGTTTCGGGTCCCCGCCCGCGGGGAGATATGGCTCTTTGCCCTGAAAACATCGACAACCCTGAACCCTACTCCCGTCAAACAACCTGACAGAAGTACAGCTTGTGTGCTTTTTGCATGCTGGCACAGGTGAAGTTCAGAGATATGCTGACTCTCGAGCCAGAAGATTGCAAGGCTCTTACAGCTTCTTCATGCTGCCTTGTTGCATCCGTCGCAATATCAACGTATGACGGCAGCAGATGTGCAGAACATCTGTCAATGCCTTGTGCAGCATGACTAGCAATGCCGTGTGTTTACCTCCCGGGTCACCTCCCTGAATTTTCCAGACAGCATAGGTGTTCATGAAGAAAGACTTAGTCTAGACCGAATCGGACAACCCTCGCCAAGTCGTTGTGGTGGTGGTGGTGGTGGTAGTCGTGGTAGTCGTGGTAGTCGTGGTGGTCGTGGTGGTAGTAGTAGTAGTAGTAGTATTTCTAGTACTAGTCCTAGGAATAATAACAACAGCAGTAACAATAGTAATAGTCGTCGTGGTCGGAGTCGTAGTGAACGGAAGCAGAGGAACGAGTACCAACAGCAGGCTTGATTCGCATTCTGCTCTAAGTGTCACTTGCGCTGTGTTAGCCTCCTGCCGACCCTGAACTCTGAACCCCAAACCCACTACCACGCTGCCTCCTCGATTGGCATCCATCCCATGGAGCCTGAGCTGCCAAGGCTGTGAGCACCAGGTAGACATGGTGATCTCCGATGCCCAGTATCTTCCTTTGCGTAAGGCGGCCTGATGACATAGACGTAAAGAAGGCTTACTGTATACAAGCATCCATATGTATGTATGTGATTCGTATGCGTGTACACAATATGTGTATGTGTGTATATGTATGTATGTATGTATGTATGTATGTATGTATGTATGTATGTATGTATGTATGTGTGTAAATGTCCGTGGCTTTGCCTATGTCTATGTGTATATGTATGTGTATGTTGATGTGCATGCATACCTACACACATGCATGCATACATACATACATACATACATACATACATACATACATATATATATATATAGATAGCTAGATAAATGAATAAATAAATATGTAGCTGTATATACACATGCACATAAATGAATAAATATGTACATATTATATATATATATACATAACATATGTGTGCATCAGTATATGCTCGCAAGGGGGAGAGCATGCATACCACCTGCTGTTATCTGTTCATATCCATATGACCATATGTATGTACCCGTGTTGTGTTCATAAACTCTGTTCGTGTATATCTGTATCAGTATCTATCTTTTCATGCATATGTATTTTTGTGTCAAAATGACACGTGTAGCTTCATTTTCATGCATCACAAAGGGCACGGGACCGAAACGGGCGACATGGCTGAAGCCGCAATGTGCGAGTCAGGCTGACCAGCCCGGGCCGGATCCGGCTTTGGTGCGGCACTCTGCGAGCTCCTTTCGGCGTTGGTTGGGATGCAATAGGACTGGGATAGGCCTTCCTACTAGTGTGTACTTGCAAGCCCGATCTGCTGAGATCTTCTGAGGCGAAAGCCCAGAGCCTCAATCCGGCTCTTGGCATCTGGGCACTGCTCTTCCAGCAGCTACGACTGGGCCTCTGCAACTTGCGCAACGGTGGTGTCATGATGTTCCGACTGAACTGCAAGGACCACTGGGAGCTGCTCTGAAATGGGCTGAAAAATTCACGGCATCAGCAGCATCGTGGGTAAACATGCGCCTGAACGCAGATGCTCCTGTACCCGACCCGAGACATGCCGTCAGGCCAGTACAAACAGCAACCACACATCTCAAGGTCGTTGTTATAGGATAGGACTTAGACCATGCTAATGCACCCCTTGCAGGACGGCAATGTGGACTGGTACTTCGACTGTGTTTGTCAAGTGCTGGCAATGGTCGACCGATTGCGCAGCCCTGAGCCACACTATTGCAACACTAATGTTGTTAATATCTTCTGCCCTTTGACGATAATCGTGATGACTGGCATAGCACCAATAGAAACATCCTGATTTTTTCTGACAAGCGATGCTGTAGTTTTCATGGCCAGCGGTGCAGTGTTTATTTTGACTGCACTTCATGCCTGCCGCATTTTTCTTGTGTTCCTATAAATACTTGGGACGACGACGCGACCGCAGCAGCGACGACCGTCCTATGATTGCCGCCGCCAGAACACCAAAACCATCACCGCGACTGCGACCGCGACGAGAAACTACTGCTAACCATTGTTGCTGCTGCTGCGACTGCTACTACTGCTACCAGGTACCCGAACTTCTTAGTAGTATAGGTTTTAGGGTTTAGGGCTAGTAGTAATAAAGGCCCAAACTAGGGGATTTGCTTATGATGAGCTCTCCAGAGGTAGACTCACCCTTAGCCCTATGTAGCCCTAAAGACCTCTCAAAGCTAACATAGGGGCCTAAATGATTGGAACACGCTTTCGGGTGCAAGTTACTTTAAATATAACAAGGAGCTCCAAAATAGTATTGGTAATCGTTCCGGCCCCTACATGAAACCTTAAGCCCAAAGAACCTCTCAAACACTCTTCATGAGCCGGTAGTAGTAGTAGCAGTAGTAGTAGTAGTAGTAGTAGTAGCAGTAGCAGGAGCAGCAGCAGCAGCAGCAGCAGCAGTAGTAGTAGTGGTGGTAGTAGTAGTAGTAGTAGTAGAAGAAGTAGTGGTAGTAGTAGTA